GAGGAATACTTGAATCAAGCATCCCCGACAGAAAGTCGCTCCATTGCTCATTACGGAATTCATGAAGAGCATTTCTCACTTCATGAACAAGATTAGTTGCTCTGTGAATGTCATCTGGGTGACAAGACCTCTTCGCTTGCTTAATTGCAGCTCTTTTGTCAGAAATTTTCTGACGAATGTCTGCAGGGAGAAACGGTCTGCCGTGTCGTCGTACTGGTAGTACACCTGCACGCTGCAGAGCTTGCTGAACGGAACTTGTCCACTCCGCTTGAGCAGCATCTATATCGTTCTCATCATCTATGATCGGGATATTGGAGAACTCTCTAAGGAGCGACTTGTATATCTCCCAATCAACCCTTTTCCTTGGAAGAGTTTCCCCTTCCAAGGTTTGCTCGTTACCCACTTCCAGTACGATAGGAAGATGATCGCTCGAAATGTCATACATGATTCGAGAAATGACACTGAATCTACAGTTTCTAGATATCGCGAAGTCAACGACATTTGGTGCCTGAAGGTGATTAAATGGGTGGTGAGTCGGCTCCTCAGTGCTGTGTATGAGGTAGCCGTTTCGTATCACATGGTTGTAAAGTCGAATCCCACTGGTGGAATTTAACCTAGAGTTAAAACATAGGCATGGATTCCAAAACAGTTCCAATATCCCAGTAAACCTATGATTTAAATGTGGTTCATATTCAAAGTGCATTAACAGAGAAAGACAAGGATTACCTATATTCAGTCTGCTGCAAAGGCATAATTTTCACTGGATATTTTCAAGAATATTACTTTTTGCGATGGTTTGCATATCTACCTACCTTCCGTATACAAATTGTTTATTTATTTTTTTCAGGTTCATTCGAGGTCATTTCAAGATCAAATTGAAGAAAAGCCAGGAAATCAAACCTATAATTTATTTTTCTAAATGACCTCAAAACCCCTTTCAAATAACCTGCTGTGGACAAACTGACCTCAGACTCGGTCTCGCAAATGCCAAAAACCTAAGTATAGGTCCATAGGTTTGATTTTCCGTCATTTTCTCAACTTGACCTTGAAACGTCTTGAGACGGACAAACTGACCTCGGATTCAGTCTCAACGACTCCGAAATCCTATGAGCGTGACAGTTGAGTGTCACATACCTTCGTAAACTTACCTACCTTACCGTCAGTATACGTTTAGGAGTGTAGGCCCAAGAACGTACGGGAAAAATATGACTAACTTACCAGAGGTAGCAATTTTTTGCGGTCCATCAAGCACAAAATAACTACAGGTATATGAAAGTAGCCTACCTTTCATATAAATGAAGACTTGAAACGAAAATGCAAGTAAAACGAAGACTATGTTAACTGGTAAAAACAAATGTTCAACCAAATACTGATGGTGAAGATATTGAATTCGTAGAATATTTTAATTACCTTGGGTTTTCGTTGACTCTCAACTAAATTTTGATATTCATTATGAGAAAATTATAAATAAGATTAGTAGTGAAGTGGGATATTTAACAAGAGTTTCTAGATGTCTGAGTTCATATGGTAGAAAAATTGTCTATCATTCTTCTAAATTTTTTGTACTGTATTACTATTCTACTACTATATTCAGGGTGACAGGTAAATAGGTGTAAAACATTTTAGGAGGTGATAGTAAAGCTCCTTTGCTATCAAAATTAGTATATAATACCATACCCTATATTCAAAGGTTAAAAAGTTATGGAAGATTTAATTTTTTTTTAAAAACAACCCAGATTACAGAGTATAATAGTTGAGCTAAAAAAAAGTTGGTGATTAAACATTATTTTTTTGGTGGTTTCAGGTTATTATTTAAATAAATAATTCTCATAAATTAAAAAACATGAAAACACTACTGAAAACGTATTTATTTTCATTTAAATGTTAAATGAAAATTTTTATTTTCAACTTTCACATTAAGAAGTATTTTTTTTCAAAAAAATCATAATAAAGAAAATGTACAAATAACGGCCAAAACTTCCTCGTTTCATTAGGTTTCTAAAATGTTATAATAACATATCAGTAAGTAAACCATTTAACAAAACAATATTACTTTGCTAGAAAGGACCGCTAAGCGCATTTCATTGTACTGAGCAGGTAAACCGAGCCTTTCATGATTCGACCCTTTTTGTTATTTTTTGTGCCCTGTGCCGTTATTCGGGTTTAAGTATTCGGAATCTGTCGTCGCTCCTCGGAAGCAAGCTTTGCGTGTGTTATGAATTGACACAGCTGACGGATCAAGGAAAGGGAACTAACGCTTAGGTTAGTTAGTAGAATATCAACCTTTAACGCGGTAGGACGTACTTTTACTTTTTTGATCAGTTTTAATAATGGCGAGTTACCGTAACGAAGAATACGCTGATATTCTGTTTTGTTATGGTTTAAATGATGGAAATTCCTTCGAAGCCAGGCGAGAATACAAAAACCGTTTTCCGAATCGGCGAATACCGAGTCATCGAGTATTTGCTTCTGTGTACCAACGCGTCAAGGAAAGTGGACAGGTTCATGAGAGACGTCATGATGCTGGTAGACCTTGGTTGTTTGACGACGAAGATCGAGAAGCAATACTGGAATGCTACGGCAGAGACCCGACGACGTCTACACAAGTTATAGCAAAGCAGCTTGGTTTAACTCAGTGGAAAGTTTGGTTCGTTTTGCATTCGGCGATACTTTACCATTTCCATTACACACCGCTTCAAGTATTAGAAGAAGGAGATCCCGCAAGAAGAATTGATTTTTGTCGATAGATGCTTCATCGGGATCAAGATGAAAACGACTATTTAACTGAAATATTGTGGACCGAAGAGTCTAAGTTTGACAGAGAGGGGACAACAAATTATCACAACTTACATTATTGGGCCCCACGAGAGGCAAATCCCCACATGGCAAAGCCAAGAGCCCATCAAAGAAGATTTTCGGCAAACGTGTGGATCGGAATCATTCATACGTATCTAATTGGACCAGTTTTTTTGCCTGACAACCTGAATGGCGAATCCTAGCCTCTGAATATCAGGATGCAGATGATCTACCAACACGATGGCTGTCCCGCGCATTTCCGTCTGGGTGTTAGACAGTGGCTGTACGAGAAATATCCTTGTCGCTGGATTGGCCGAGGTGGACCGACACCGTGGCCAGCGAGGAGCCCAGATTTAACACCGTGTGACTATTATTTATGGGGGCACATGAAGTCACTGGTGTACGCTGAGACCATAGACACTCTTGCACAGTTGAAAGAAAGAATTATTGCTGCTGCTGACACTATCAGAGGACAACTAACTGGCCGCATCACGCGTACCAACATGAGAAAAAGACTACGGGCTTGCATAAGAAACGGCGGGCGTCAGTTCGAACAACAATTGCAATGAATTTTACCTTCATTTCATTATTGTATTTTACTTACCAATTGTAGTAACTTTTAGTCAGTTTTTATTATTCAGTAGTACAATTACAACTGTGTAAATAATCTAATCGTGTAACTTAACCGTAGTTTAAAATAATAACTATCCCATAGCTTACAGTTACATTATTTTCACAAAAACACTTTCTTATCAATCAGAGAGTTGTGAAAATAGGAGACAAGCCATTGGTAAATTTACTCCCTATTGTTGTATTACAATACATTATGTTTAGTTTCACACAGTGTTTGTGCACTTATCAAGCTAATTTAGATTCCTTATGAAACAAGGATATTATTTAAATTGTTTGTACGTTTTTTTGTATACTGATTTTTTTGTAAGACACCTTACTTACTGTAAAACGTTATTTTTTTTTCTTAGTTAAACATTTTTGAATGAAAATAAATACGTTGTTTGGTATTGTTTTCGAATCTTTTTTAATTTATAATAGTTAATTATTGAAATAATAACCCAAAGCCACATAAAACAAATGTTTAATCGCCAACTTTTTTCTCTCTCGACTTTTTTACTCTGAAATATGGATCGTTTTTAAAAAAATCTTAAATCTTCAATAACTTTTCAACCTTTGAATATAGGGTATGGTATTATATACTAATTTCGATAGCAAAGGGGCTGTACTATCACCTCCTAAAATGTTTTACACGTATTTACCTGTCACCCTTAGCTAATAATTCCATTTTTGAAAGATTGCATTTAACAAAATAAGTGCATGAAAATAATACTCAATAAAGATAAATATACTCCAATTCGACAAATGCTTAGCAAATTGAAATATCTCATGTGAAAAATGTCTTGTCTTATAAAGCACAGAATAATATATTTCCACCATATCCAACTGAATTAACATCATCAAACGCCGAGCATCATTTAGATAATACCAGAGTTCCATTCAATATCCAAAAAGTATAACATATGTTAGAAATCTGTACTCACCAAGGTTGATTGAATATAATAAATCAAACACAGATATAAAATCCCTGAATTATTTGACAAAATTCAGAGTAAAACTAAGGTATGACTTGTTAAATCTACAATTATAGCTTGCCCAGTATGTGTATCATATGGCTAGAATTTATTAATTTTAAGTTGTCAATAATTATGTTTATTTAGCCAAACGTACTAAGTAAATCTTTCTAGTACTAGTAGTACATAGGCTCTTCAACTCTTTATTTCATTCTCTGAAATCCGTGAGTGCGAAAATAGCTTTAAGAGGTTACTAGAAGAGCTTTTTCTAGAAAATTATCACGACAACAAATTTTAGTTTTTTAATTGTATCTTGTGGGAAAAGTGCACTTCATTGTTAATTTTGGGCCGCTGAATCCAAATTGGCAATGAAATAAAAAAATTAGTTGCGGTTTAGAAAAAAAAATTTATAACACATATAATTACCGTATCTCTGAAACTTGAACTAATATTGAAAAAATAAGTTTCATTCCGGTTTTAGCACATTAAAAATAGTAATATTTTGTTGATTTTACTTAGGATATTTTTTGGCTGTTGATCAGTGTTATCTCTGTTCTGTGCAAGAATTCTTAAATTTTTAATCTATTTTACTTTTTAATGAACCATTTTATCATTGTGTACCTATGTTTTGCGTCTGCGTCTTTTACTAGTGCTAAATATTCATTTAATCTTAAGTGCAGTTTTTCAACATCAAATGACATGTCCAATACCTTTTCAAGATCTACAGGATGAATAAATTTATTTTCGTTATTATCCTTTTTGGGCCCGAAACCCATTGTATATCAAATACACGAAGATCAAGTGTGTCTGCATCACAATCAAGATCATGTGTGATGTTTTGATTGTCACTTCACACGGCAAAAACTGACAAGAGATATTTTACGGTGATTCTATACCACACAATATCATGCAAAATCAAGCGTAATTTGAGCACACACGTCATATCATTTTCTCAACCAGTTGGAAATACTTTATAAATTGCTATAATCTCACCATGGATTCAACAGAAGACGTCTCCGGCAATACCAAGACTACACAAGGCCGTATCGTACTCGATGCCCAACCACAACAAGTGAAAGTTATTTTGCAGAGCTTTGTTAACTTCTTACAGGTGAGATATCGATGTATACAGGGTATTAATCAAGTATGTACCATACATTTAACAGATGATTCTTTGAGCAATCTTAAGACAAAAAGTTCATATACCTAAATATAGGTCCGCAAATTCTTCGTTCTCAAGTTAAAATTAAAAAAAATATTTCCTTAATTTCCTAAATATCTTTTACCTAATTTTAATAATTTGGCAGTGGTATTTATAACATTAACCCTGGAGCGCTTAGGCGAATAGCACGGCTATAGTTGCTTAGGCGGGGCTACCAATAACCCCAGTGATATATTCCTATTTAATGAACAAAATATAAAAGATAGACACTTTTGTTTCAATAATAAAACATTTATTTCAAACACTCGGTACATATTTCAGCTCGATGATTACTGCAAACAGCCTTGAAACATTTCGCATAGGCAGTTTTTGTTTTTCGGTCATTTGTTCTTGGACATAAAATGCAGCGAGTCTGTTTTAGCAATTTTGCTGGAGGTGGATCAACTTTTTCTTCTGTTTTCATATCTAGAATATTCATTATTGATTCTTTCAATTTTCGAGGTATTGGTTTTGTCAAACGTCTTTCCATATGAGGCCTGACCAGTTGTAGTCCAAGTTCAAATAGGTATTTTCGACGAACACTTTTTTGTCTATCACGCTTAACAATTTGGAAAATAATGTTGGAGTTAATGCCTGCTTGATCCATTATACCATAAAAAAAGCGTAATGGCCACCTGCGTGTTTTGCGGGATACCGAATATGTGTGCACCATCTGGTCAAAGGTATCGACACCTCCTTTGGTAGAATTGTAAAAATTTATTATCTCGGGTTTTTTATTTTCATCTATTGTACTACCAGAATGCATTGTCGATAAAAGTAGCACAGATTTAGACTTCTTGGGTGTGAAGGACACCAAGGTTTTTTGGTTGTCGAATCCAAATTGAGAAGACATAATTTCTTTTCGTTTGTTTGGGAGAAATGATGGAGGAATTTCCCTCTTGTTTTTTCTGAGAGTACCCACAATGGTCAAATTGTAATCAACAAGCATTTTGTCAGCCAGTGGGATGGAAGTAAACCAATTGTCCATCGTCAAATTGCGTCCGGTTCCGTGAATGGGTTCTGTCAGTTTTCTTACGTAATAAGCTGGGAGAGGTTCTTTATCTGGTCTATTTTCTTTGCCGATATATGGAATAGCAGTAACCATATAATATGTGCGTGAATCACACATCGTTACAACTTTGATTCCATATTTGTCAGGTTTTGATGAAATATATATTCTAAAAGGGCAATTGCCTCGAAATCCCAGTAACTGTTCGTCGATGGTACAATAACTGTGAGGAGTATAGTATTTTGTAAAGTTACATATAAACCTTTCCCATATATTACGTACTGGAGAAAGTTTATCTTCTCGGTCCCTCATGGTTTTGTCGTCAAATCTGAGGCAAGATATCAAAAATCTAAATCTTGTTTCACTCATTACGCATCGATACACTTCTGGTCCATGCTTTGACCACATTTCTGCTGTAGTTAGATGATTGTCTTTTCTACAACCTGTCATATAAAGCAGTCCTATCAAAGCCAAGATCTCTTCAACGTCTGTCTCGTTAACAAAGCCACAATTAGCAACATATTTCTTTCTTTGTCGTTCTATTTCCATATTTGTATGCACCACCATAATATCTATAACATTCGCGCTAAAAAACAATGTTTCGCTTAGGTGTTCGAGTGCGACATGGAAGCTCAGTGCTCCAAATATGTCCATTTTTTCCTTTTATTACTTTGCCAGGAAGTTGTTGTTCTGTCACTCTCTACTTCACTATCATCCGTTGAGTAGGTGCTCTCCCTGTCGGACTGAATTGAAACATGGTCGTCATAGTCAGTGCCGTCATTATCTGAATCAGGTTCATTGTCGAGTTCTTCATTCCATCGTAACAGAGTTTCTTCAAATTTGGGATCATCTGGTCGGACAGCCATCTAAATAAATTACGTAATCTAGTGTGTGGAATAAAATAAAAATACCAGTTTAAGCTTACCTGGGGTTACTCGTCACCCCAAACACAAACAATATAAACTATTGCACTGAACAAAAATGTGCGACCAACAACACACACACTTTAACCTCAAATGAACATAGCGGGATCTCCGATGTTGCCAATTTATGCACAAAAAATTAGTGAACATTTGAATTTTCTTTGGGGTGATGGGAAACCCCACTAAGCATTACAGGGTTAAAGAGCTAATTCAGCCTTAACTTGATTAAAGTCCAGTGGCGTCTCGAGCGGGATCTGAACGTATATTTGCGACAAAAAAATATGCGCCACTGACTTTAGTGCAATGTTTTTTATGCTCTTTCGATTAAGCAAATAGAAATGCAACTTTTTGCCTCTTGAAATTTTTTCGCATCTTGCTTAGTTTTCGAGAAAAAAGGTCCACTTAATTTCATATCCCTGGATCACGCAAGGAATTTGGGGAAATGTTTCATTTGGAAATTATAATTAATTTTTTTATTTTTTTATCACTAATTATGTAACAACAACAAATACTAAATAAGATTAACATCTAGACATAAAATTTCACTTAATTTAGTGTTTTAAATGGCCCCCTTCGGCTTCAGTACAACCGCTAGCCGCCTTATCAATGAATTACGCGCTCTCCTGAAAACATCTGGCGTATTTTTTATTATTGTCACATGAATTCATTGTTCTATTCCCCATCTCACAGTGTGGCAGATTTTAAGAGACCAGCAGTATGGTTAGCATCTAACAGACTAAAATTAATTGCAAGTAAAACGAAAGCCTTGTTAATCGGAAAAAAGCAATGTACAAATGTTCAACTGAATATTGATGGTGAACATATTGAATTCGTAGAAAATTTTAAATACCTGGGGGTTTTTGTTGACTCTCGATTAATTTTTGATATTCATTATGAAAAAGTTATAAATAAGATTAGTAGTAAAGTGGGTTATTTATCGAGAGTTTCTGGATGTCTGAGTTCATATAGCAGAAAAATTATCTATAATACCATCATTCTTCCAAATTTCTTGTACTGTTCGACTATTCTATATTTAGCAAATAATTCCATTTTTGAAAGACTGCAAATTTTACAAAATAAGTGCATGAGAATAATACTAAATAAAGATAAATATACTCCAATTAGGCAAATGCTTAGCAAATTAAAATGGCTCAATGTAAAAAAAGTTATCAAATATCTTGTAATGATATTCATTTATAAAGTAAAAAATAATATGTTTCCATCAAGTCTAACTAATTTAACAAAATAATAAATAAAAAGTATAACATATATATAATCTGTATTCCATCAAGGGTTGATTGAATATAATAAATTATACTCGGAGATAAAGGACCAGAAAACTTTGTCAAAATTTAAAGTAAAATTGAGAAATCACTTGTTAAATCTATAATTATAGGTTGCCCAGCATTTACATCATACACCATATGGCTTGAATTTACTAGTTCTAAGTTGTTTACAATTATTCTGTTTATGTAGCCAAATGTGCTAAATAAATCTTTCTACTACTACTACTAGTAATATCCATATCATATATGCAACGTGTGCAAGCTCTGTTGCTCAGATTTTTTACTTTAAGACTAGCTTTTTCTGATTGGTTTCGCTGTAAAATGATAAAGAATTCAGGTTTTCTAAGTCGAATATTGTTTACAGATGGAGCTTGTTTTTCTCGCAATTCATTTATTAACTTCCACAAGAATCACATTTGGGCCGACAACAACCCACACGCCTTAATAGAACATCATTTTCAATAATAGTTTTCTTCTAAAATGTGTGTTAGATTTGTCGGTGACCGTCTCATAGGGACTCAATTTCTCGCACCCGACCTAATGGAGAAGAATACCTAGACTCTTAGAAGAAAATGAATCCTTTAGGTTATTTTCTCGATATTTAAGAAATGTACGAAAAGCAATTTCTTTTACATTTTAACACCCTGTATCTTGCGAACGAAGAATTTGCGGACCTATGCTTATATGAATGAATGATTTGATGATTACAAGTTTTTTATTTAACTTGATCTGCTTGTTAGTGCACTGTAAAAACATGGTCAATTAAACTCCCGCAATAAATTTATTAATTATTAAGTTCTAATTGAAAGCGTTGTACGTATACTTTATATGAAGTCACTTGAAATAGCATAAAAACCTTTGGTCGGCGCGTCCTTTGTAATTTCATGACGTATCATAGGCGTGCGGTCATTTATTTAGAACGATAATAATAATGTTTTTATATCACAATAAATGGATTTTACTATCTTCTTATTTTTTTGATTTGATATAAAAAAATACTTATATTGGGAGTTTAATTTATGTTGACTGAAAGTTAAGAAATGGAAAAATTACAGAATTCCAACGTTTGACATAGGCAAATATTTACATAGCAGGTAGGTATATAAAAAGGTATATAAAGACTTACATTATAGGTATTTATATATCATCCTCGCCTTCGGAGCTGTCGCTAGAGTCATCTTGTAGAGGAATTACAACGGGATTTACAGGAGGCAAAACACAATATTCATTTTCTTTTTCAATAATATGCCTAGAACACTGATTCCATAGGTCTGTGGCAGCAATATGAGATACTGGATCTCTTATTGTGGCCAATAGCGATTCACTTAATTGAGGGGTTTGATTATGTTTTCTTACTTTTTTTTTAAAGCAGCCCAGACCAACTCAATCGGGTTAAAAATGCAGTAATAGAGAGGTAGACGTAATACTTCATGGCCATTTTGCTGAAGCAGATTGTCAACAACATACTCTTTTTAAAATTTTTGTCTTTTAATAAGATCCAATAATATGGCTTTGGTTGATTTTTGTGGTATTTCCATTCCCTTATCCTTCATAAAATCAATATTGTCTTGTTTTTTTGTGCCTGTATTCGGAATTTTGTTTTTCTGTCGGGAATGGTATGGCGCATTGTCCATAATAATCACTGAATTTGGAGAAATGTTTGGTATTAACTGCTGCTCTATCCACTTTTCAAATAAGTCGGAGGTCATGTCCTCATGATAGTCGGCACATGTTTCTTTGATATTTTTGGCAGATAACAGCAAGGCATTAGGTATAAATCCATTTTCACTGCCAGCATGGAGAATAATGATTCGTTTTCCACGGTTGCATGGTGCATTTAAAATGCACTTGTTGCTGTCGTCAACCCAGCCGTACTGCACAACATCATGGGTATCATACCACGTTTCATCCAGGTAAATCAGATTTCTTTTCTGCTCTCTATAGATTTTAACTTTGTGCAAAAATTCTTGGCGCAATTCAACGATTCGAGACGACTCCATAATCACCATTCTTTTATCTAATTTTTTGTATTGAAAACCACACAGTTTTACAATACAGTGCAGTGAGTCTAAGCATTTGTAATTATAAAAATCTTCAGGATAATCTTTTAATTTATCCCGTATCATTTCCAACGTGGGCACCAAATTTTCTTTATAAAATCCGTATATTATACGACGAATATCTACCTGAAAACCCACGTCTATTCTTTTTAATTTTTGCACTATGCGCTTTCTGAGGAAGGAATGGTTGACTACATCTCCCCTTTTTATAACCCGATAAATGGTAGACCGACTGATTTTTGTCAGGATACAAATTCTGTTTAAAATTTGATTTTGCGAGGAATCTGGATTTTCGTTTTTCAGACAATCATACATATTTAGGATTACTCTTTGGGTCTGTTCCTCTAAATCTTTATGAAAGAATTCTGCCTGCACAGGTTCATCAACCATCTCCTCGTGGCTTGGAGCATCTTCCCAAGGTCTCCAAAGAGCCATATTTAGGACACACAAGAACAATCAACACAACAATTAAATCAACAAGTAAACTGAGTATTCAAAAGTCAAAAACACACAAACTAATAAAATCTATGAAAAAACACGGACAGACTAAAGAAAACACGTTTATTCACCGCTACACGGCACTGGCTAAACTGTTGCAATTTTCAGTAGCCACCTGCACTTGTTCGGAGCTCTGAAATACACGCTTTCTCATTGGCTATGTCCACGCATAGGCGTGCTTTACTCCACGTGGACCGGTGAAACTGCCTTTGATCTTATATATAATACTTATAATATTTGCTACGAAATTTGGCGATTTTTGCAGCAACAGAGCGTGTTAAATATAGATATATAAAACGCACCCGGTATTTCACAGTGTTTCAAGTGACTTCAGATAAAGTATACTATTAAAGTAATTTTTTTGAAAATAGTAAACCATGCACCTGTTTTATTGAACCGTTTAATTAGTTTTTATTTACAACAATTGAAAATTTTAATAAAAACAGATAACTGTTTATTTGAATCGAGAACTTCACTGGTGATTGATCGGGACAATGCGACAGGCGCAGTGCCGGTGACGCGCATCGAACTCCTCAATTTCATTTGTGATTTTTGCGAGGAGCTTCATATTCGAATGTTGCCGTTGTTGGTGCAGTAGCTGAGATCAATTATGGTGATCCAGTGAAATACTCGAGCATGCGCTTAGTGAACCATAACGCCATAACCATGGTTAGAATGTATCTTTTATTTAAATAAAACAATTGTATGGCATCAAGTTTTACCAATTATTGTCTTTATTAAAATGTTTAATTGGTTTAAATGTGCTTTTCTACATAAACTAA